TCCTTATATAAAATGGCAAAATTTTGAATTTGGAGATTATTATTATTATTTTGTAGATGGTTTATATGATTGATATCTGGAAATATGGAGGGCCAACTCTTAAGTCTTTTTTGGTGGAATTGTTTTGGTGACCTACAATGACATAACCAGCAGTTAGCAAATGTAAATATTTTTCCAGGGAGGAAAAGCGTGCTGGAGTTCCTTCTATGTGAGTCTGATGCTGCTGCTGTTGAAGAGGCCAGAAGCAGGAGCATCTCTTCTATACTCCTTCACTTGCTTTTGTACTTCTTGTGAGTATAGTGCAGCCCCAAGCCTACTTCAGCTGAGTGTGACTCAGCAATCTCCAAGAAGGACGCAAGTATAAAGCTTGAGTCCACTAGTTCTGGGAGGCCTTGAGTCTGTTGCTGGTGGTGAAGAGGCCAGAAGTAAGAGCATCACCATCCAGCACTTCTGTACTGAGTATTACACAGCAATTTATGTGGAGGGAGCAAATATAAGGCTGAATCCAGAAGGCCTGGGAAAAATTCTTCTACATTAATGTGTGATATGTTTGCAGAAAATCAGCTCATTGGGTAGCTATTGGTTGCTCAAGGACTGTTACACCAGCTGGTGGTGAGAGAGCTTGAGGTGCAACTGACTACGGCCACCATCTCAATGCCATGGCATAGCTAGGCAATGAAGAATGAACTTTCTGGACTTTGTTGAAAGCCTAGGAATATATGGAGTCTAACCCTTCTTTCCTGACTGCTTGCAGCCTATTGAAATGTAGCAAATGTAGTTTTTATAACATTTTGACAAACGTATTAATAACTTTTAATTATGATTAACTCAGTGGGCAGAATTTAATGAAACACCTTTCTTGAAGATACAGGAAGTTGCAAATGATGGCAGTAGCAATACATATTAGCTGGAAGGCTGTTTGTGCCATATACATGTGCAATCTGAGGTTATGTACAGGTATATTATTTTAAAATGTTTTTAATGTACTCATTACATCCTAATTCAACATCCTTCCAAGGCAGATTTTGAATGTGCATAATAATCTAGTATGGCCAGGGGAGTGGGGAAGCACCCATGCAGAGGGCAAAATCAGCTGCAACTTTGCAGCTGGGGGAAGAAAGCTGACCTTGACCTCACGATTTCTGCTGAAAATCTAGGAGAATGCACTCAGTTCTTTTTCCTCAGCTCTCTTTTTTTAATGAGTGCAGCCTGGTTGCATTTCCCAGCCAGTAGATGGCTGTGCAGTTGCAGTCTGGGTACTTGGAAGCTGTTCTTCTGGGGTGAGTAGGATATGGAACTATATGGGTGCAACATGATGCTCAATTTGCATGATATGGGATCACAGACACTGTCGATAAAAAAACTGGGAGAAGAGATTATCATCAATTTTGCCAATAGGTTATTTGTTACTATCAATAAAAACAGCCTTCTTCAACTAAGTCTTTCTTTTTGGAGAATGTAGCCATAACAGTGCAAATCTAGATATGTCAGCTCAGAAGAAAATAAATCTCAATAAGTTTAATGAGAGCTTTCCACCCTCCAAGATGGCGGGGATTATCCGCTGATTGTAACTAACATTCCCTACTTAGGAAAAACTCAAATAACCTTGTGTCTCCTATTCTGGAAAAGATTTTTTTTTATCAGCTGTGATAAACTGTGTGTAAACCCCAGCTGTATTCAAGGGACTATTTTATGCTTCAAAGATATCACAGAGCCTCAATTTAAACAAACATCTGCAACACCTACATTTCCCTTGAGAAATAAAATTATAAATAGAATTGAATTGGCTTCCAGGTTCTCATACAGCTTGCGATAAGTTTTTTCACTTTGTACTATTGGGGTTGTCCATAAATAAATCTTGCAACTCCTCAGTCCAGTTCTTCCAAGGAGTATGGCTCTTCTGACACACGTTTTGACAACTGTAATGTATGACTGCTAGCAGGTAAAGGATATCTTTATTGAACAGATTTATTACCATATTGGGATAGTGGTGACCTTGATAGGCAGAGATATATATACACATATACACACATATCCAAGATTGCAATCTATGGATTAACATATATACTTGGACTTAGGAAAAGATTCCACTTCTTCCTTCTCCATGTATCCTGCTATCAGCACAAGCTTCATTGAGATGACAGAGAGCTATGGAGGACATTTTCCTGGTAGATTTTATTCTTGGGCTACTCCAAAATGAGAAAGAAAGAAAAAAAACTACAGGTGACCGCTCTAGAAATAACAAAAGAGGTAAAAATCATGAAAGCATCATTTGTGCTTCTCACACAGAAAAAAAAGCTGATGGCTCCAAGTGAGGAGTCCTTTGAGGTGTTATGCTTCAGCTTCACTGAGCTGCATCTTCAGCCTATGCTCTTTTGGGTCATTCGATGTAACTAAGTGTTTCTCTTGCCAAAGATGTGTTGCTTTAAGCTGCATGATGACTGAAACTCACATGTTTGAATTACAAGGCTGTCCTCCCCAACCAAGCCAATGAAATGAATATGATATAGGCATACACATAGACTCATACAAGCTGCAGACACAATCATTAGAGTAGACTAGACAGCAGTAATTCCTAACATGGTTCTTTTTTTCAAGCAAGTATGCATATTAGTTTGCAAACTAGCACAGCACATGCCTCAAATATAAAGAAAGGACAAGTCATACCCAAAAAAAGGATGGTAAAATGAAGTGGTTATGAGATACACAACTGGTAGAATTTTTTGAAAAATAAAATGGTTCAAGGTGTGTTTCAAATTCTAGTTCTTTTTGGTAGATCTCAGCATACCCTCCAATCGTCCACAAATGAAAGCTGGAACAGATGTGGCCAAGCAACTTCCAAGTAGAGTCAAGATGCAAAACGTATTGATGCAGAAGAACAAATAAGCTGGGAGAGGCTGTAGCAACTTGCTTTTGCCTGAGCCTAAGATTCTTTTTCCTCCCATTGAATTAATTGACCATAAATAAATTTTGCAGTTTTGAACTCGGTTTTACAGCAACTGAAAGAAACGGGGGACAAAGAGGGGAATCGGAGGAGGATGGCGAAATCAGAGAATACCTGATAAATTGGGAAAGTCTCAGATTAATTGGGACTTTCCCAGCCATATCAAAATTGTTGCAGAATTTAATCTTAGCCCATCCTCACTATGCCATAAAATGAGCACAGGTCTTTAAAGATGTTTTGGCCTTCCATCCCATCAGCCCCAGCCAACATGGCCAATGGTCAGAGACAATGGGACACTGGAGTTTTAGAGGGTCACATTTATCAGCAGAGTTTAGGATTTAAAATTTCAGGCTAAGTAACTTTTAATCCCCAAGCACTTTGTGAGCTACAATAGGATGACTTTGAACTAAAAAACAAAGTTTGCCTTTATATAGTTGTCTTATCTTTGACAGATTTTAAGTTAAAGCTCAGAGCAGAGTTCAGATAGCAAGAACACTGAATCATGATAAAGTTTCTATAAGAGTTTCCAGGCCTGCAACCTCAGCACTAAAGCTTAGCTATTGCCACCTACCTTCTACTTACTCTTAGTTTAAGCTTTGCAAGACATCAGATATGTATTTGTACTCTGACCACAGCCCCATTGAAGTATCTGCACACCTGAACAGCCTATCTGCTGATTTCAGCATCAAACAGATTTTTTCTAGATTTATTTTAGTGGGACCTGTCTTTAAGGTTGTATTTAAAAGAGGCCTATTACATGCTGTAGCACTATCCCACTTCGTAAGTTTCATTTCCATATAAATATCTCAGTTTGGGGAAAAGAAGCAAGTTCACATATGTGGAAATAAATGGGTTCGGTTTCTGTTTGTTTGCTTGCTCTTAAACAAGGGACTGCAAAGTGTAGCCCTGTGTTCTTTTTTCCTGATTCTCCAACTTATGCAAGCCAATTGTCTCTTTCAGAAACCCCAAGAAGTTAGAACTCGCCTTCTTGATATGTTATTTTTATTTATGCATTGAATTTATATCTCAATTTTCCTCCAGGATAGTTACAGCACAGCACCTCCCACCCCACCCTGGGGCCTGTTTATTATCAGAAAATACCTATTTTTCAAAACTAGAAGTCAGTATCTGATCATCTACCATTCCTTCCATGTTTATATAGCCCCCAAGATTTCAAGGGCAGACAAATGGCTCCTGCATCTGGCACAGCGGCCAATCCTTGTTGCAAAGCTTAGAGTGTAACCTGCACCCGCTGTTGGGATTCCTCTTGGAGGAAGGCAGAACAAGGCTTCAACAAAAGCAGGTTCATAAACGAGCCAACTACAGCTCTGTTTAACTAACAAGCAGTGTGAAAGTGTCTAACACTCACAGAATTCCTAGCTGCTAAGCAGCCAATTTCTGCCCAGGTTGTTTCCCCTGGTTATTTATTTATTTATTTATTTGTTTACAGTTCTTATATTCCGCCCTTCTCACCCCGCAGGGGACTCAGGGCGGATTACAGTAAACACATATATGGCAAACATTCAATGCCAGTTTGACAAATAACATTTAACAGACAAAGGCTATTTAACTTTTTTTCTGGCCGCCAGGGGAGCTGCTGCTTTTCATCGTCCATCAACGACACCGATGAAGTTCTTCCGCATTCCACATTCCCCGGAGTCTTCTTTCTTTATGGCCTCATAAATTAGTTAAATTTAGCCTCCCACACAAGGTGGTACCTTATTTTCCTACTTGACAGATGCAACTTTATTTGCTTCTCACGCATCTCCATTTTCAATATTTTAAAAAGCAGATACATAATTTAAATTCATATGAACACTTAAGCATATCACTGCTACTTTCTTTTGGCAGATTAGCAGCCAGGTACAAAATATGCATTCATGTCATTTGTTTAAGATGGTTTCTTCCACTGCTTGGTTCTTGAGTTGGGTCCTGCCAACTCCTTGGCCATCAGTCCTTCAGGAGAGCACACATTAGACAGACCACTTTTCATCTTCAAGCCAGTTGCATGATTCACAGCCCAGCTGTCTAGCCACAGCTGTCACCAAAATAATATTTATGTTTTTAGGAGACATTCCTTAAAGTTGCCAATAGTTAAGAAGCCTCCAAACATTTCCTGGGAAGCATAGGTCATGTACAGAAAACCATCTTCATCTTTATAAATTCGGTATACTTCAGCCAGAGTTAGAGACATGCTGGCTAAACTCCTGTTATTTACTAGCAAGTAGAAAGCTTGGGTATTACTCAGCGCCATTCGGCTCCTAGGTAACAAAGGAAACAGACAATCAATTTTCAAAATATGTCATATTCTTCCATGTTATGCAGAAAGGAAAAAAGATGTCTAGGTCAATGGACACAATTTGTAACCTGGGTCAAAAAAGGTTTACCAGACTCATGTTTCATAAGCCACTTATTGGAACTGGCCCTGTCATTCGACAGAGTGAATCAGACACTTCAGACATCTGGTATCATTAAAGAATAGAAAATTGTTAGTTTTTTGAACTTTTACTGCATTTTTCCTGCCAGGTTTGGGGTTCCTATGAGATTCTATGTTTCCTCTGTGTGTGTGTGTGTCTGTCTGTCTGCCTGCCTGCTTGGATATTTGCACCACTTGCTTCCCAGCAGAAGGCAGCAAAACATTTTGGGCCTGCCCTGCCACCCCTTGATCTTGGGACAACAAGATCACTCTGACCAAAAGGTCATGAGTTCGAAGCCAGCCCGGGCTGGAGTGGGTGTCCAGCCATTGTGTAGCCCGTTGTCGACCTTTGCAACCCGAAAGACAGTTGCATCTGTCAAGTAGGAAAATAAGGCACCACCTTGTGTGGGAGGCTAAATTTAACTAATTTATGAGGCCATAAAGAAAGAAGACTCCGGGGAATGTGGAATGCGGAAGAACTTCATTGGTGTCATTGATGGACGATGAAAAGCAGCAGCTTCCCTGGCGGCCAGAAAAAAAGTTAAATAGCCTTTGTCTGTTAAATGTTGTTTGTCAAACTGGCATTGAATGTTTGCCATTTATGTGTTTACTGTAATCCGCCCTGAGTCCCCTGCGGGGTGAGAAGGGTGGAATATAAGAATTGTAAATAAATAAATAAATAAAATTTCAAATTGGACCGATTTTTGTTCTTGGATTTGAACAAAATTAACACTTGAGTTTTAAGTAGCAAAGCTCACACATGATTAGACAATTTGCATTAAGCATCCTTAAGTGATCAGAATGCTTCTCAGTAAATATAAAAGCAAGATTTTTTATTTTCCTATTCCAATGCATCCATTCACAACTGGAGGTGTAAGAAATACTTGTAAATGTTTTCACCTTTAATTAGAAAAGATGTCACATGGAAATTCCATATGAGAAAAATGTCAACAGTCTGAAACTGTATTACATTGTGTGACTTGGGGGGGGGGGTGGCTGTCACATATTCACCAAGATCCTACACTGGAGATGTATTTATGAATGGGCAACTACATCTCATTTCAACTACATCTACATCTCATCTCCCAAATCCAACTCCTTAAATCTACCTTAACATCTAACAGCCACATTGGACGACAGGAGTCTGTTTGACTGCCAACTGGAGTTCAGCAAGATGATATTTCCAACCCCATTCTGCCAAATATCTCCAATGCAAAGAGAAGTTGCAACAGAGGTTCTACTTCTGTCACTCCACAGACAGTGGTATGAGGGGCTGAAAATGTCCTGCCTTGTGCAGAACAGCTCGTCATCATTTGAAGCAGCTGTTGTTAAACTGCATAAGGCATGGAATTGGGAATCGTGCAAGATCATGAATATGGAGTGTGGCTGAATAAGAAACAGTAACAAATCCAACTCTAGCTCATGAATCTGTAACTGCAATCTTAAGATGTCTTTTTTGTCTTTTTTTTTTTGCAAAGTCAGTAATTGTATACAGAATACAATGCCTTTTATTAAAAAAACATGATCTTGTGCAAAAACATTGAGCCAAAACGCATCAATGTACTTGTGTAGTGTAAAACCATACTCATGCAATGAAGTAGTGAGTACACCACCCTTCTGACAAATGCGAGTGCTGTGCAACTAGTTGTGCATTTGTGAATATGCTTGTTGTTACTGCCATCCAGTGACTCAAGTGATGCATACTGAAGGCACTGCTGAGTCATTACCCACCATGCAGAAAAGCACAACTGCATGAACTCAGCAGACTCACTTCTACGTCTTAGAAGACTTAAGGTTTACTAAGACACAAGTAAATACGCAGTAGGATTGCTCCATTTATCTCATATGTTAGTTTTAAAGATAGCAATTCCTGCAAGGACAATATGTGAGGGTTGTTTCTATGTGCTATTTTAAATGCACACCCAAGAGGTATTGAGTTCAGGTACTTGCATGGGAGACAGCCAAGGAATACCTGGTACTGTAGGAAGACTATGTTTCAGAGAAAGGCAATGAGTGCTCCCTGCTTAGGAAAATCATTGGAACTTCTTGCCATCACAATAAATTGGTAGCAACTTGAGGGCATAAATACACAAAATAAGTAGATACTTAATGCAAGTGTACATTCCAAGAAACAACTATTTTCTGTGCTGAAGCCTAGGCATTATATTGTATCCCGATTCAAAAAATGTAATAAATTACAGATTATTAAAATGAGTATTGTGAGCACGCATCCATTGCTTCCTTTCTCTCTTTCTTTCTTTCTGTGTTGTACCATTTCAGGTTTTGTTAAACTGTAGCTTCCTATGAATGCAGAAAAACTGGACTACATAACAGTTAATGATGCAGGTTTCCAATCCTGGTTTTAGTCTTAAACTGTCCTGTCTAGATCCAATGGTACTAGGAAATTACTGTTTCGCAAACCACAAAAGTCTGTAACTATGATGCAGGAGGGGAAAGAGATGCGGGAGAAATATTTTAGCTCTTGTTCTATCAAGCTACAGTTTATTAGACTGAGGCAGTTGCATTAGATGTGTACAATGACTACGAAGTTTAGCAAATAACTGAACATGGAGCTATTGGGGTCAGGACATTAACTGCCCTATTTTTTGCCAATATTGTATCAACACCCAATGCAGACCATCTCTCATGTCCTATGTTTTGTTGTTGTTCTTGTTGTGTGCCTTCAAGTCATTTTCAGCATATGACAAATCTATTACAAGATTTTCTTAGCATAATTTCTTTAGAGGGGGGTTTGCCCTTGTCTTTCTCTGAGGGCAAGAGGGCAAGGTCATGCAGTGGGTTTCCATGGCCCAGCAAGCATTTGAACCTTGATCACCTATGTTTACATTAGCAGAAAGGTTTAGAAGAAATGTGGTCAATGTGTTCCCCTCTAGATGTCTTCGTGACCGCATTCCCTCCCTCCCCCATGAACTGGTGTGGGCTCTAAGATCTGCCGGAAAGGCTCTCCTCTCGGTCCTGCCACCGTCACAAGCACAGGTGGTGAGGACAAGGGAAAGGACCTTCTCAGTGGTAGCCCCCCAACTTTGGAATGCCCTCCTCAGGGAGATTAGACAATCCACCACACTGTCCTCCTTTTGTAGGGATTTGAGGATGTGGCTTTTCAAACAAACTTTTGAGAATGCTTAGTCTCTAGTTGTTCTGTGCAGTAGTTGCACATCCTTGCACTTTATTCTATGCCCTCTCTCCATTGTTGCAGCTTGCACTTATTCCATTGTTTATAGCTTGGGCATGTTTACAGCAGTTTACTGCCACTAGTTGATATTTTAGTTTTATTGAGTCTGAGTTGATGTTTTTTTATATGTGTATGTGTTTTATTATATTATATTTTATATTGCGCTTCATTTTAATGTTCTTTTTTAGGCACTTTGTGCTGTCTGTAAGACGCAAGTCCCTTTGGGGAGATGGTGGCAGGATATAAGAATAAAGTTGTTGTTGTTACCATCATTATTATTCAACTATATTTCCCATGATCCTCCATGGTTTAGAATGGGACTTCCATCCCCACATAATTTGCAGGATTACAAGTTGCTCACTCTTGATCTATGTAATAAGAGAAAGACTTAATCGACAGCCTTACTGTTTCAAGACAGGAAGTTCCAGTTACAAAAATGATATAGGAAATATGTGGGGAGAGTAGAGCAATATAAGGTTACTCCAGCCTTCCCTCTTATCCAAGTAAAACAAAGTAGGGGCTGTTGTAGCAAACAGACACATTCAGACTTTGGAGGAAATTGCAACGTGGAAGAATAACAGTACTGTGAAGTTGCTTTGTCTGCAAAGAGGAAAAAAGCAACGTTGCAGAAAATCACCTAACTATTGAGGTACAAATGTGTAGAGGGAAAAATGGAATTGGAGCGCTCATTTGGAGATATTAGCCACAATAATAATAATTTTAAAAATCCCAGAGGCCAATTTTATGTTCCACTCCTTCCAAAAAAAGTCCTGAGCAGGGAAGGCAAACAGTGCTTGAATCAGGAGGGGTCAGTCCACTTAGGATCAAGGGCAGATTGCTGAAACACAGCACACAAACTAATCCCAGCCTTGTAGTTAGGCTGCAGCTCAGGGTCACTTCTGGTATTACTTTTCTCTGCTACAGGCTGAACCTACAACAATGTGACCAGAAACCTGCCAGCATGCTAGACATGTGACCCAAATCCAATATGATCTTAATAACATGTGGATCAGAAAGCACTGCAACATCATGTGTGTGTTTCCCTTTTCAAGAAACTGTAACTTCCAAATTATAATTCCGGATTGAGGATTTTTAGCACCTTCTAAGAATATACTATTTATAGAACTTTTATTCCATTTAACTGTCATTGCTTCATTTTACAGGACCTTGGGATTTGTAGTTTTGGGAGATATTTAGACTTTTTTTTTGCTAGAGAGCAATAGTTCAGGGAAATATCTGTATTCTCTGGCAGAAAGCTCTCTCTTAACAAAGAACAGACCCCAATATACCATAGAATAGAGACAGGATAGTTGAAGTGGTATAAAATAGTTATAATTGTGCAGTGTATCAATCCTTATATCCACAGGATAAAAAGTTTACAGAGAAATCTGGCATCTACTAATAGGTCACAGGAGCTTAGCTAGAGAATAGAATCATAGAACCTTAGTTGGAAAAGAGCACAAGGACCATTCAGTCCAACCCCGTCATGCAGGAAAACACAATCAAAGCACCCCTGACATATGGCCATCCAGCCTCTGTTTACTTACTTTGAACAGTAAGGCTTGGATTAAAACCAAAATACATAGCAAACTGTTCTCTGAAAACTGAGGAAACTTAAGATGCAACTATAGTAGAGTCTAGCTTATTCAACACAAATGGGCCAGCACAACGTTGGATAAGCAAAGATGTTGATCAATAAGGAGGGATCAAGGAAAAGCCTATTAAATGCCTATTAATTTTCCAAATTAAGCACCAAAATATCAAATTGACAGAAAAGGCAGTTTAATACATGGTAACGTTATGTAGTAATTACTGTATTTACGAATTTAGCACCAAAACATCGCAATGTATAGAAACAGCTGTGGATCATGGAGAGAGGAAGACTGTGTTGGATAATACAGAACGTTGGATGAGCAAAGCTTGGATAAGTGAGACTCTACTGTGTACTGTAAAAATACTGCAATTTGACATCACTTTAGCTGTCATGGCACAATGCCCTAGAAACAAGGTTCCCTTCCACACAGCTGAATAAAATCCCACATTTTCTGCTTTGAACTGGAATATATGGAAGTGTAGAATCAGATGATCCAGTTCAAAGCAGAAATTATGAGATTTTCTGCCTTGATATTCTGGGTTATATGGCTGTGTAGAAGGGCATGGCCATGGCCAGAAATAAAAATTTTGGGGGATGGGGGGAGGGTGGAATTTTTTTTTAGTGACTTATGAAGAGTTCTTCCATAAGACAAAATAATTTAAATAGTATGGTTCATTCTATATTTTATATAGACTTAATTAAATTCATTTTCTGGTCTCCTTCATGTGGGGCTTAAAATCCTTCCCATGCCTTAGGCTTTGCCTACCAGTTATGGGTGGGCCAATTTGGTTGTTCCCACTATATCAGCTATTGCTGCAAGTAATGACTGTGAATAAATTGTCAAAATTTGCTAGTAATAGTGCTTGCAGTTCTGGAGGGACTCGTTTAATTTTGCTTCTCAGAGACTTAGCAGGGGGATTTGGTTAACCAGTTAAAATTCATGAGTAAACCAGGATTTTTTTAACCTGAAATTTTTCAGGGGGGGGGGAGGTTGAAACCCTACCCCCCCCCTCAGGCTACAGCCTCTGTCAAATAATGCTAGTGTGTCACTAAACTAAAAGTCACAGGATTCCATAGCACTGAACTATTGCAGTTAAAGTTGTGTCAAAGTGCATTAATTTAAAAGTTTAGATGCACTGTTGGAAACAGTTTCCAATACAGCAGTTTCCAACTTGAAATCAGAATAACTGTTACTCCTCAGAGTCTGGGGCAGCAAAAGTTGCAAAAAGATGCCAAGTTAACAGCATTGGTATTATCACATAGTCTCCAAAGTCTTTCAGAAGTCCTGTAGCAAAAAATAGACTCCAGATGCATGGACAGCCAACAAGATTAACAGCCTATCAGTGGGTTGCTACATACCTAATGATGGTTATAAACTGCGTCATGGTCAACTCTTGAGGTACAAGAAACTTTGTTTTGTCCAACAGTGGGAGGTATTTTTCTCTTTGGTATCTTTCAACAATTACCTGTTTTATAAGAAGAAGGCAAACATTTTTAGAGGAAGATTATAAAACAAATTACACAATAAAATTAATGCTTAAAACCTAGGACAGCACTCATTCAGAATTTGGGAAAGTTACTTCTTTGAGTTATAGTTCCCAGAATCCTCAGTCAGCTGGTCAATGAGAAGGCTGTGCTGACTTGGAGATTCTAGGAGATAGAGTCCAAAAAGGAGTTTTTTTTTTCAAATTATAAAAAATTCAATGGAACTTACTCCTGAAGATTGCATTGGTGGGGTAATATGAACAGGATTTGAAAAAAAAATACCATCTAGAATCTTCAAGCCAGCATAGCCTTATCATAGACCAGCAGACTGAGGATTCTGGGAACTATTTTTCAATGAAGTAACTTTTCCAAATTCTGAAGTTTGCTTAGGAGGGCTGTCCTAATTATTATTAGGAAAAAAGTAAGGTATTATTATTATCATCATCATCATCATCATCATCATCTTTCTTTTTTCTCTTGATAGAGACCCAAACCAGCTTCAGTTTGAATGTACAGTGAACATACATAGGGCCCTCAATATCCACAGGGATTTGGTTCCAGGGCACCCCATGGATGCCAAAATCTGTGGATGCTCAAATCCTATTATGTACAATAGTGTAATAAAATAGTGTAATAAAATGTCACCCCTATAGTAAAGGTCAAAGTTTTCCCTGACATTAAGTCTAGCTGTGTCCAACACTGGGGGGTGGTGGTCATCTCCATTTCTAAGCTGAAAGCTGGCATTGTCCATAGACACCTCCAAGATCATGTGGCCAGCATGACTGCATGGAGTGTCATTATCTTCCCACAGAAGTGGTACCTATTGACCTACTCACATTTGCATGTTTTTGAACTTCTAGGTTGGCAGAAGATGGGCCTAACCATGGGAACTCACCCCATTCCCTGGATTCGAACCACCAACATTTCAGTCAGCAAGTTCAGCAGCTCAGTGGTGTAATCCGCTGTGCCACCGGGGGCCTGTCGCCCCTATATAAAATGACAAAATCGAGGTTTTTTTTGGGGGGGGGAGTAAATTGGAATATTTTGAAGTCCTGAATAATTGAATCTGTGGATATGGAGGGCCGACTGTAATTGGAGTTGCACCCAGATACGTGGAATTCCAGCCAGCAAACTCCACTAAGGCCAGAAATATTCTCAATCAATTGAATATATAAAAATCAGTCATCATTTTCCTCTCTTTCAGAAAAAGCCCTCTGATGTATCAGTAATCAGCACAGAAAGGAAACAGAGGAAAACTATGAATACTTACAGGGATTTTTGTTGGGAATTTCCCTCGAATGCTGGCCACTTCTTCAACTCTGGTCGCTGTGCAGAAGAAAGCCAAGATCAACACTGTTTTCTAAGAATGCAAACCTAGCCACGACTGATCAGAATAGAAGCAAATTTGGTAGGATCTACTGCCTTAGGGTAGTAATTTTGACCCCTTGTGCCCAGGCTTGCCATGGCAGAAATACTTGCCAAAGACCTTATCAAACTACAACTCCTGGGATCCCACAGCCCTAAGCCAAGGCAGTGAAAGTGGTATCAGTCAAACGGCATTCATTCTACATGGTAGATATACCATCCTACGTTCAGAAGTCAGCCCAGGTATGGCTTTGAAGAAAGACAACTTTTCAGATAAAGCATGCAGCCCTATTGACCTAGTGATTAGCAGCTCTTTTGAAGTGTTCTCCAACTTACCAAAACTCTTCCTTAGTTTGAAGGGTCTGACAACCTGGTAGGTCTGTAGAGGCTGCATTGTGCACTCGCCTGCCTCCAAATGCAGGCTGTCTGGAAGAAGACTCTACCGCAATAGCAAGAGCTGCCTGTGACCTGTTTTGAAAAGGGGGTGGAAAGGAGCCCTGTTTATAAAGGCCTGGCTGATGATGTCAAACACCTCCCCTCCTGGCTCCCCATCTCACCAGCCCCAGAGGGAGGGGTCCAGCTGGCTCAAGCCAGAGGAAAGGCAACCGAGGAAGACCTCTCCTGGGAAGACTTCTCTCTGTCCTGCCTGCCTTCCCTTTGCTCTCCTGGCTGACACATTCTTTCTCCCTTTGCACTCTCCTGCCTGGCAGACCCAGACGCCGAAAGGAGCAAACAGGGAGCAGACCTGACTGTTCCTCTTTCTTAGATATCAGGTAGTTTCAAAGTCCTGGGACATTTGGATTAGCAGGGACCACAAGAATCTCTGCCACTCTCCCTGGGCTTCCTTGTCCCCTCTCAGGTAAGCTATATTTCCCTGGATTTTTCAGAAGTTAACATGGTGTTACTGGAGCTATTCCTGTTGTGACCCATTGTCATGGAGTGTCCAGATCTTGAGTGGACAAAAGCCATTGTCTTTACAAAAGACCTACCTCCAAAATAGATTTTAAAATTTGCTGAACTTTTAAAAAGACCCTGTCAATCAATGTAGCTGTATATCAGAAGCCCCCAGTGGCACAATGGATTAAACCCTTGTGCCGGCAAGACTGGAGACCAACAGGTCAGAGGTTTGAATCCGGGGAGAGCACGAATGAGCTCCCTCTGTCAGCTCCAGCTCCCCATGTGTGGATATGAGAGAAGCCTCCCACAAAAACATCAAAACATCTGGGCATCCCCTGACAACATCCTTGCAGACAACTAATTGTTTCACACTAGAAGCAACTTGCGGTCTCTCAAGTCGCTCCTGACACACACAAAAATGTAGCTATCTGTATTTTTGAGGATGTGGTTGAAAGAACTGTTATGGGATCAGACTAGATGGCCCTTGTGGTTTCTTGATTCTGTGAACCTCCACATTTACCACTACACTACTGTCAATCACCATAGTCAGGCAGAAGCCATTTTGCCTTTGCCTGGTATGAGCATTTAACAAGTATATTTAACATTTTATCATCTTATATTGGAACAGGGTTTAATTAAAAATCACTCACAGTGAAGTAAATGAATAATATTTAAAGTCTGGCTCCATAAAATATAGGCTGGATCAGTCCCATTGAGCAGAAATAATTTATTACAAGGAAGGACCATGTTGTCGTCAGAGGCTTTCATGGCCAGAATCACTGGGTTGCTGTGAATTTTACGGCGTATGGTCATGTTCCAGAAGGATTCTCTCCTGACATTTCACCCATGTCTATGGCATGCTATCTCTGAGGATGTCTGCCATAGATGTGGGCAAAACTTCAGGAGGGAATGCTTCTGGAACATGGCAATACAGCCTGAAAAATTCACAGCAACCCAAGGATCATGTTTTTATTTTGATGTCTACTTAAAAGTGAAACAAAGCATTGGAAAGCACCTCAGTAGAGAAAAAGAAAGGACCACACGTAGATTCCACTTTCATCATTGTATCTCTCCATTTCTCTGCAAGACACAAGCCTTTTGGAAGTCCCTTCAAGCAACCACACACATAAACATTGATGCTGTAATCTAATCATGCCCCACTGAACACAATATGATATCTCCCCAAATAAGAGCTTGGAGATAAGTCACCTTGGCTTCTTGAGAAGTCGTATTGAGATCTTCTGAAGAACCCCCCCCCTTTTTTTTTTTTTTGTTCTACCATGCTCATAGAACGTTGAGTTGGAATCTTGTTTGTTAGATATACATGCACAAGGCAGCCAAATATGTGCCCTTTTGGTCAGTCAATGACTGGTTATCTCCTGCCACTCTGACCAGCACCTCCCTTACCTGTTGGCCATCGCCTGCAGTGACATTGGCCTTGACACTCTGGGGAAGAAGGGGGAGAATAAGGAATTACCCCCACCCCTTCCCCCAGTCCAAACCAATGACATTGTAGGTGACTGCTGACAGGTAGGACATGTGTTGTGGCTGGAGACCACTGTGACATCAAATACTTACTTAGGTGATCCCTTGTAGTCTGAGGATGATGGTCCTCCAAGTCTAGTATCCTGGCGGTGGGTCCGTAGGTGACTGTGGAGCCCTATTCTTGATCTGCATCTTCTCCCACATCGGTTTCCAGGTGAAAGGTGGTCCCGGTTGGGGTTGGCTTGATGCATCTTCCTCTTGGCACATTTCTCTCTTTCACCCTCCATTCTTGCCTCTTCAAATTCTGCAGCACTGCTGGTCACAGCTGATCTCCAACTGGAGCGGTCAAGGGCCAGGGCTTCCCAGTTCTCAGTGTCTATGCCAGAGTTTTTAATGCTGGCTTTGAGCCCATCTTTAAAACTCTTTTCCTGTCCTCCAACATTCTGTTTTCCATTCTTGAGTTTGGAATAGAGCAACTGCTTTTGAAGACAGTGGTCAGGCGTCCGGACAACATGGCCGGTCCAGTGGAGTTGATGGCGGAGGACCATTGCTTCAATGCTGATGGTCTTTGCTTTTTCCATCACGCTGACATTTGTCCGCTTGTCTTCCCAAGAGATTTGGAGGATTCTTCGGAGGGAGCGCTGATGGAATCATTCCAGGGGTTGCATGTGGCGTCTGTAGACTGTCCACATCTCGCAGGCGTATAGCAGGGTTGTGAGGACAATAGCTTTATAAACAAGCACCTTGGTATCCCTATGGATGTCTTGGTCGTCAAACACTCTCTGCTTCATTCAGGAAAATGCTGCACTCACAGAGCTCAGACGGTGTTGAATTTCAGTGTCAATGTTGTCTTTGGTGGAGAGGTGGCTGCCAAGGTAGCAGATATGCTCAACATTTTCTAATGTTACACCATTAAGCTGTATTTCCGGCACTGGGGAGGGATTGACCAGTGACTGCTGGAAGAGCACGTTGGTTTTCTTGATGTTTAAATGACAGGCCGAGCTTCTTGTATGTTTCTGCAAAGGTGTTTAGAGTGACATCAAATACTGTGGGATGGATAGGAATTTTTTTGGCACTACTGAGCAGTGAGGACTTCATCCCACATCCATGGCAGCTGGGGAAGTCCCTGTGTGAACCATCCCTGAGATCATCCTACACCAAATCAATCCAAAATAATTTGTTAGTGTAGTGCACCGGGATTGTGGCGCAGCTGGCTGAGTGTCAGCTGCATTAAGATCACTCTGACCAAAAGGTCATGAGTTCGAAGCCAGCCCGGGCTGGAGTGGGTGTCCAGCCATTGTGTAGCCCGTTGTCGACCTTTGCAACCCGAAAGACAGTTGCATCTGTCAAGTAGGAAAATAAGGCACCACCTTGTGTGGGAGGCTAAATTTAACTAATTTATGAGGGCATAAAGAAAAAGACTCCGGGGAATGTGGAATGCGGAAGAACTTCATCGGTGTCGTTGATGGACGATGAAAAGCAGCAGCTCCCCTGGCGGCCAGAAAAAAGTTAAATAGCCTTGGTGTCTTTGTGTGTTAAATGTTGTTTGTCAAACTGGCATTGAATGTTTGCCATATATATGTGTTGACTGTAATCCGCCCTGAGTCCCCTGCGGGGTGAGAAGGGCGGAATATAAGAACTGTAAATAAATAAATAAATAAATAAATAGATTCAGCCTATGATAATTTCAGTGGTCAGGGAATATCCAGCTGTATGGGACTAATGCTATGCTGGACCATACGGAATTGAGGCCTAATCTGTACACAAAACAGAAAGTTCTTGGTGCCTTCTTCTTGGCAGTTGAACCGCTTTCCAAGACTGTCCATAAGTTCTTTCTTCTACTCAAAGGCCACTACCATGTTATGTCAATGAGCTTTTTAAAAACAATTATTTATCTTCCATGCTGATTTTATAAATATCTCTCCTTTCTCCTGGCACAGAATCCAAAGTGGGTCACAATATAGAACAAGAAAAAATTGTGAAAAACCTAACAATACAAAAGTTGCTTTTGCATTTGAAAAGCATACATATAAAACAGTTTCAAACACAGTTAAGGCATAATACATCTCACCCCATTAAAAGATCCTTCTGCCACAATCAGTTAATAGTCAATGGCCTGTCCAAATGAAAAGTTCTTTGCCTGCTGATAAAAATAGAGGAAAGGGGATGAGTTAGCTTCTCGGCCACCATCTTGGAATAATCACCAAAAAGGCTCTATCCTGTATCTTCAGCCAATGTGCTTGTGACAGTGGTGGGACTAAGAGAAAGCCTTTCCTCAAAGATTTCAGGCTGGCTTGTTCTAACCCTCCCCCCCCCCTTTTTTTTCTTCTTCTCTCTAGCTGCTATTAAATGTGATTAATTCAACTGTGTTTTATTATAACATGTTTTGTCTTTTTATTTATAGCTACTCATTGTGAGTCAGACTGCATACCAATTTTGGAAGAAAGAGGAGATATGAGGGTACATCTACACTACAGAATCAATGCCAATTTAACTGCCGTGGTTCATGGGATTTGGAGTTTGAAAAGGCACAAGCACTTTTTGGCAGAGAAAGGCAATGGCCTTGTGAAACTACAATTACCACGATTCCATAGCAGTTAAAGGTGCCAAATTCTATTATTTCTACAGTGTACATGAAATTTAAATAAATCAGTAAATTGACCAATCTAGGATCCCAGTATTGGCATGTTTTTCAACTTAAATTCTGAGTATAAGAATCTTCTTATTTTTAATGCCATGAGTTGCTCTGCCATCCCATCACCATTGTTACAGGCTTTCATTTTGTCCTATTGATTTCCCATGATTATTCCCAACTTTTTTTTTTGACCAGGGACCACCTTGACCAGGCACCACTCTCCAATATTAGTACCAAAAGGGTTACAAATCAGTTTTTGGTTAATTTTAGATTTGATTTGGTTATTTGGAGTGCTGATTCAGAAAATTGCATTGGATAGACCACATCAACTCTAGTTTCTGATACTGGTATGCAGTAGTCACCATCTGCTCACCCAC